GAATAGTTTCTCTAGTGTGAGAAACTGAAAGTGTAAATAAGGACTAAAAGGTATAATAGATAATCTGAAATAGGAAGAAAAGGGCCAAAGGGGAAGGGGAAGTAGGAGGGGTAGGGGAAAGGAAAGAAGGGAATGGAATAAATATGAGAAAATGAAAAAATGGAAACAAAGTCTTTGTAGATACGGAGGGGTGGAGGGGTTGAAGGGAGGATAGGGGAATGGGGAAAAAATAAGAACCAAGAAAGATTATGTAAAGGTGCAAATTTAAATGTACCAATATAATTAATAGAAAAAAAGTTGAGGTTCTGCTTTTTCAATGTGTTCTCAGATGATGCTCCTGCTTCAAGTCCCAGGACCAGATTCAAGAGGCTGCCTACTCCCTTCCCTAGAAGAAAATTTGACAGAAGCTATGGCAAACTCACTAACATCTGTTTCTTTTCCTCCCCACACTGTGAATTTTTAGTTTGAAGTGCTTAACATCATTTAAAAATCAGACTATTTCATGTAGCCCGGATGATTGTGTTTATGTTGAGACCTGGAGAATCTGTAGCCCAGGACCCTCATTCTCTTGCAGCGATCAACTAGGGGCACGTGGCTGCTGTCCTCCACAAGTCTTACACTCCCCTGCCACCACAGAGCCCAGCTGCACAGTCACTCTGTGACTCCCGGCCCTGGCAAGTTGGAGAGTGTGTCCCTGTTGTAGAGCCCTATGAGCCTGATGACAAGGGTCTGTGACCTTGTGAGGCCACCTTCAGAGAAAGAAGTCCAGGGTCATCGCCTGGGTGTGAGCAGAAGGTGAGCAGCTTTTAAAGGATGCCTGAGGTTTGGAGCAGAAAACCATAATGTTGCAAGATATGATTTTTAGACTATCTGCATCAGAATTACTCAGTATCTGTTTTCAAAATGATATCTGTATAAAATAAACTTGCATAAAATGTAGATGGCAACCTGCAAGACTTGAAATTGCCAGTGATTTCCTAAGCAGGATGGAAAAAGTGCTACCCTCAAAAAAATTATGAATAAGTTCTAATACATTCAGCTTAGGAAATTCTGTTAATCAAAAGAGTGATAAGCAAGTAGCAGAGTAGAAGAAAATACTAACAATATGTATAGTCATTAAAGATCTTGAACCTAGAGCATATAAAGAATGCTAAAATCTGTAAGAAATAGATAAGCAATCCCCTAGAAAAAGGGATTAAAAGCTTAAAGAGGTATTTCATCAAACACAGTATCCAAGCAGCCAATAAACATATAAAATTTGCTCCATTTCATCAGGGAAATAAAAATTAAAACCACAATGAAACATCACCACACAGACCAGCTAAAATAAAAGGATAAAGTTGTGTTTATCGGGATACAGAGCAACTGGAAACCCTATATGCTGCAAGTATGAGAAGAAACTCAAAATTCTCTCTTTGGCAAACTAACAGTATCGATTCAAGCTAAAAATATACATACATGCAAACTCAGCAATTCCACTCCTACATATATACCCCCAAAATAGCACACATATGTTCATCAGAAAACAACTCCCAAAATATTCAGAAAGCACTGGCAAACCCTGGCAACAACTCAGTGTCCATCTACACTAGAGTGGATAATGATGCTACATGTAATTAAACAAATACTTCAATGAGAATGAATTAATTACAACCACATAAAATAATACAGATGCATATATTCATCTTGTGAGAATTCACCATGCTGTAATTCCAAGCACAAGTTCATATGAATGGTAAATTTTTATAAAAAGTTGCAATGTTCCTGAACCTAGGAATGGCACAATAAAAGTGAGTCTTCTGGGTTGGCATGGGGCAGATGGGGAGTAGGAAAAATGGGAGTCAGAGGTCAGCTGAAAACCTGCTATGAAATCCGTGGGTGTGAGTATATAATGTGGGCTGTGATCTTAGCAATGAGAAGTGAAGAACTGAGTAAATGATTCTGTGGGACGCACACACCAAAGTACTACTCTGCCATAATGAAACAAACTTGAGGCATCTGTAGGTAGATGGATGCACCTTGAGGCCATAATAGTAAGTGAAATAAATCAGATACATGAGCTTGACTATCACATGGTTTCTTGTATATGAAAAACCAAAAAATACATAAATAAAGAGCAAAGTAAGAGATACATTTTAGAAGGTACAGAGATCTCTTTCCACTGGAAGGGGGAACAAGAGATGAAAGGAGCAGGGAGGGATGGCACGGTTAGAAGATGAAAAAAGCCTTAAGATATGTTCATGTGCCAACCATGCTAAATGTACTCACTAAGTACTGCAAACAGGTACTCATAAAAATTTTAAAAATAAAGCAAGAAAAGAGAAAGTTTCTTGATATTGAATGTGACAGAAAGGTAGGAAGGAGATAATAATGATAGAAAATGAGCACTGGGAGGGATTAAGAGATCCCTGGGTTCTACTCCTACTTTTACTGCTGAGAAATGAAGGTTGCCAGGGGGGTGTTAATTTTACCAAGGTCACACAGCAAGTTAGCAAGAATAGAATTCATCCACATCACTGAGTGCGGACCTTGCTATTTCCACTACACTATCTGACGTAGGAATTCTAAGGTCTAAGGTCTTTGATCGGGAGAATATCTCACACAGAGAAACTTGCTGGAAATGAGAATTTGCTTCCTTTTCTCCTCTCTTGGCTTCTCTGCTCCCACTCACCCACCTCCGCCCCCATCTTAAAGAAGAAAACTGAACAGTGAACATTATCCTGCATGCTTTTTTTCTCCACCTACATATTTTTTTCTTCTTTGACCCGACAAGAATACCATAGCTGTTTTTATGATAGAAACCTATATTCTCCTCGCTGGAACAAATATCAAATCAGAACTACCACTAAATCTATCCTTGTGGATATATCTCAGATCATAATGTTGAGGAGATAAAAAAGGAAATTGTATAATGGTATCATTTTCTTTAATAGTCTCCAAAACGATTCTTTAAAATGATTGTGGCATGAATATGTAACAAGAGCACAATTACTGAATTCATAAAAGTGATTTACTTTGGCGAGAGAGGAATGAGATTGGAATGAGGTACCCAGGGTACTTTAATTGTATCTATAATGTTTTGTTTTTTCCAAAAGTAAGATAAAGAAATAAACAACTTCTTGAAGCCAATATGGTATAAAGCAGAAGTTTGTTAAAGTACATGGTGGATTTATTATTCTAAAACTCTGTATTATCACTGTGACTGTGTTCAAAATATTTCACAATTCCTTGAAAATGCAAAAGTGATGCATTACTCATTATTGTTAGTATTCTCCTCAATTTCTTATTATACTAATGATTATATTTACCACAAAGATTGAAAAGAAAGTTAGAAATACCAGTGATCAATGTAGGCAAATGTATCTTTCCCACATATTTTATTTAAGAATTTCTGCAAAATGTCTTCAAGACAGTGTTGAAGATAAGACAGAAGTTGTAGGAGCTTTTGGACAAGTGAACTCTGGCAGGACTTTTTTTGTGACCTGAAGTGAGCAATTGTAGTTGATTAAACAATGGCAAGGAACTCAAAGGGAAGTCAGAGGCAATGACAACTAATCAAAAACCCTCCCTGACACTGTGTGCAAGTGGGAGATTTTGTGAGCAAATGTGAAGCACCAGGAACAGATGCCACAAACAGAGCCCACGCATGAAAACACAACACACCTGGATGGTCAGAGCCAACCTTCCTCACTGCCACATCACAGCAAGCCAGGCAGGCAGATGTCCCAGGCAGGGAGATGTCCCAGGCTCCAGGCCATCATGAGCCTTCACATGTCCTGCCTCCCTCTCTGAGAATTCTCAGTTTGGTCCTCACTCTTAACCCCCACTTAAACAGACACAATGGCAGAAGCAGCCAACGAAGCATGAGCACAGACTCTTACTCCAGTGGAGCCAGGAATTAAAAAGAAAGGAGGTGGCTGCGGTCCATATTAGCTACCAGTAAAACTGCCCGCAATTACCGTGCCACATCCATGAGGTGAATGTTCTCATTTAATCCTCACAGAAGTTCCACGTGCTAGGTACTATCAGTCCATCAACTATACAGCCAGGAAAACTGAGGTTCAGAGAATGTATGAGACTTGCCCAAGATCATACAGCTATTAGAGTCACTCCGAGGTGACTCGGGCTTTATTCCATTTCTCTAGAATACAAAGGAGGAGCTAGAATGGGGGAGTTTATTTCACTTGGCCTCAGATCCCTGACACCTCTTATCAGCCTCCAGTGAGAAAGGTGCCCAGGCTGAAACTTCCAGCCTGCCTCAGGTTCACTGTAAAGACTTCAAGTGCATTCTACAAGCCCAGGTCATGAGATTGTAGGAGAAACCATCTGCCAGACAGTTAAAGCCCTTGGCGAGGGTGTGCTCCTCGGCTGGCTCTCAGGAACCCTGGTGGCACCGCAGGAAGATAGAGGATCCCAACAAGGATATAGGGTGATTCCCTGGAGTGATACTTCTCTGTCTCCCAGATAAGTCCTGCTCTAATCCACTTCCACATTCCCCCAAAGCCACCATCCATCTTTTCAAACTACAAGAGACCACAAGGAGCCATCTCGGTTCTGCTCTGAAAAGAAGCATAGGGTTTAGATCAGGGTGGCCAGTCATGCTGGTCTGCTTGGGACCGTCCAGTTTAGTCTGGCTGCATCCCAAGAAAGCCCTCAGTCCCAGGGAAACCAGGGTAGCTGGCCATCCTGTGTCCAGTCTCAGGTGACTTGACAGCTTTTCAGAGCAACAACCCCCTTACTTCAACTTAACATGACAAAAACCGCTATAAAAGGTAGGAGGCAGGAAACTGCCTGTTTTCCCTCAGCAGCAGTAATACTGACAAAAATAGGGTTGAGTGACTAAGGCCAGACTTATGACCACCCATAGGTTGCAGAGGAACTCACTGCTGGAACGTTCTTCCTGTTCCAGGGAATCTTGGGAGAAAAGGAAGGAAGGGCTTAATCACACCCCAGGAGCAGCAGCCAAGGCTGCCTCACTCCCCTTTGGCAGAGAGAGCTCAAAGCCTCTTTTCTCAGAAGTAGACGCCTCCCAGGCTCTGCTCCCTTTTTCCAAAGCCAGAACGACAAATACCAACCTAGAGAGGGAAGAGAGGCAGTCATAAAGCACAACCATCTCCCCATCTTTGGAAGGGCACCTTCCTCAACCCAGCAGTTCCCAGAACCTTTACTGAACAAACCAGCTTAACTAACCCACAGGCCAGAGCCCTATAGGAAACTCACCTGGGCCCCAGGACAGACTCCGCTCCCCGGGGATGCAGAAGCAGCCACCCATGTGTGCACCATCCTCCCCAGGCCAAGGCCCCTGGGAACAGCAGCCAAAAGAGCTTTCAGAGGCTCCCAGTGGCGTCCCTCCTCCCCTCCCACCTCCTCTCTGGCACAAGAGGGACCAAGGCCACTCAATGCACAATGCAGTCTTTGATATCCGGGCTACAGAGGGAGAGTGGGAGGGGCCGCCCAGCCTGCAGGCTTGATAGTCCTCGCACTGTCAGGCCCCCGCCTGGGGAGCAGAGCTCCTCCCTAGAGCTCTGCATATTGCTTTATCCCTATCAGGCTATGGCACATTCCTTGCATTCTGGGGTTGAGATACACAGCTTGGTTTTTGTGGGGGCTGTCAGGGTGGGGGAGGAGGGCAGAGAGCATCCCAGGAATCAAGGCTGTTGATCTTGCTCCCTGATTGTCTTGGCCCAGATGTGGATTCCCCTGCCAGCACTTGGAAAGTGATCTTCATCCATCCCTTCCTTGCAAACATTTCCCTTGGCTATCATGTGGGGGGCACAGCATCTCATAGCACTGGTGAGCACACAATCCCCCTGCTGCTGGCTCCCAAAGGCCTTGGTGGGTAGGAACCCAGGAAATCACCTGAAGTAGCCCAATACTGTACAGGTGAGGGGCTGGAGGACCAAATATATTTAAGGCTACAGGTTTGTATGAAAAACTGGTCCCACAAGACTAACTTCTTTTCTGTTTCAGACTGGCAGTGAAGCAGGGAATGCAGGTGACATGGTGTGGCTGAATTTCAGAAAGTCTTCAATGAGATCACTCAAAGGATACAGAAAAAATACATCCAAATGCCTACCAGGTCACACAGAGGCATGCCTGATCCAACAACCAAGCTCAAGGGTCCCTGCTCATTCAGCGTTCCCTCCCTGTGCAGAGCAAAGGTTGGTGGAGAGCAGCTCAGACATGAGTGACCGAGGAGGAGGCAGGGTGCTGATGGGCTTGGGCTGCAGGGTTCTGGGGGCAGAGCTTGGGTCAGTCTCACGGAACCTTAGGGAAGGCAGTGGCCTGGTCAGGTCATACTCTGAGATGAGCACTGGGCGACAATGCGAAGGGTGGGGCTCGGAGTCAGACTGCCCAGAATGGTCAGCAGCATCCACAGCTCACATCAGCACAGTCCCAGGGTTGGGTCTCCAGTGGGTCTCAGAAGTGGGCCTACAGTTCCGATGCTGATGACCTTGAATTGCAGGTATGGAGTGTTTAGCATAAACTGGGCACTCCCCATACATTATGTAAATCCTGTAATAGCCCCATCATGTAGGCAATATCATTTCTTTTTGGTGAGGAAATGGGTGAAGGTGTAACTTGTCCTATCCCCGATTAATGAATGTCAGGTTCAGGACTCCTCTGTTTATGAATGTCAGGCTCAGGACCCCTCATGTATGAATGTCAGGCTCAGGGACACCACTCCCCATTACCACTGTCAGGTTCAGGACCTCCCAATTTAAGAATGTAGGTTCAGGGCCGGGGATTTAGCTCAGTGGTTACGGTGCCTGCCTCGCAAGCGCAAGGTCCAGAGTTCGATCCCCAGTACCAAAAGAAAAAGAATGTAGGTTCAGAACACTCCCTCCCTTTATGAACATCAGGCTCAAGGACACACACACACACACACACACACACACACACTCTTATGAATATGAAGTTCAACACCTGAGCAATTTCTAGTTGATTCTTCAGCCCAGGAAGAGTTGAATTAGCATGGGTCTCAGATGAAAGAGTAAGTGTTCCTTTAGAACCATCCAAAAACTCAGAAATATATGAGATGAGAAACCACGGTCTAACTCACATATGCAAACTTCATTTCTCCTTGATATGTCTGCACACCACTCATATATAGGGGCAGCGACAGTCAGAAACTAAAATACTCAAGGCCAACCATTGGAAAGATTCCCCAGTCCAACTGTCATAGAGGACGTCACAAGCCAGTGGATTGACGCACACATTTTGGCAAGTCTGAAATAAATAGTCCATTATTGATGAAATCACTGCTTCCCTTGAGATGCAAGAAGCTAATGTGGTTCTGCTCATGACTAGCTGAGACAGATTTATTTACATAAAGAAATTTCCAGGCAGAAAGAGCAGCAGGAGCAAAGGTCTTGAGGCAGGAACTTGGTTGGCTTGTTAAGGAAGGCTAGTGAGACAGGAAGCACATTGGGATGAGGTCAGAGAAAGCAAGCTTGTCTTAGATTGTGACACTCTCCATGCTAGGTGGCAGCCACCGCACTCATCAGTCACAGGGCCATAAGGGTTGACAATCAATGCCCTATAGTATACCCTGTTGTTAATATAGCTGTGGGACTGATTTTTAAAGGGAGCCAGTGGCAGAGATGTGACCAGAATACAAATCTTAATTCCTAACTCATTCATACATTAGTTTGCTCATTCATTAAACATTGCTGTTTGCTTTAAAAGCTGCGTGTTTTGTGGACATGAGTAATAATAATAAGTACTGATGAGCTTTTGTGATGTCTTCTCAAGAGAAGCTGTCATACAGTCTTCACCCCACTTGTGCAAAGATGAAGAAACTAAGAGTGATTTGCCCACCTGACTCAGCCACCTGGGGTAGAGCAGAGCTAGGCTTGGAACCTGGGCAGTGGGACCTCAGAGCCTTTGTCCTCACCGCTCTGCTTTACTCCTCTGTCAGAAAGACCCAGCCAGGCATCTGGAGGCTGAAGCCCAGCAGCCAGCAGCAAGGCAGCTTTCTGAGCCACAGCCCAGGTGTCAGCCAGCCAAGCTTTCCTCTGCAGGGCAGGACATGCGCCCTCTGCAAGTCATCTGAGGAACAGCAGCAGCAGCTGCTGGCTCTGACCCCAGCAAGAATGGCCCACTGCTCTTTCCAAAGCATCAGCGTGGTCAGGGACAGGCAACGGATGCCTCACCCCGGAAGGTGAGCATTGAAGGTGTCCAGAAACAGTGGTGAGTCTGCCCCTCCACTCTTCCTCCTCCAAGCCCATTTTACAGACAGAGAAACCAAGGGCCAAACTCCAAGTCGTCTCTTCAATGCTTTTGGGCAATGTTTGCGGCAAAGGCCTCTCTATACTAGAATTCAAACCTCAGGGCTCTCGGTCCAGTGTGTGTCCATACAACAGGCTGATGCTAATCAGTTCCTGTTTTAAAATCAGGTTCCCCAGTGAGCGGGCTGGGCTAAGATCTTGTGCTTGTGCATGTGTGTGGGTGTGTGCACTCATGGGTGTGCCTGGGGGGGGGGTGTCTCCTCGCTAAGTTCATGACCCAGGCCCAGGGCTGACACTCCCTACCACTCCCAGGCAAAGGAATTTCTTCTCAGCCCAGCTGATCTTTCAGAGAAACTGAGGTTCCAGGCATCTGACCCAGCAGATGGCATAGGAAGGCACGGCGCTTCAGCCACCTCAGCTTCCTGCTGGAGGGGCGCTCACCTGGGCAGCAAGAGGCTGTGCAAGGGGCTGAGGGCAGCAGCGCTGGGAATAGTGAGGGGGGAAGGAACGGAGATGCTTCATTGTGAGGACATTTCCTAGAGGGCAAAAGAAGCCTGTCACCACAGTCACAGAAAGAATCCCAAGGCATGTTATCATACAACACATAAAGAAAATTGCAGTACCATGCATATACTAGGACTCTATTAAGGCAAAGCACACACATAGCCCTAAGGCAACCATAGACACTCGTGTCCCTGTGTGTGCACAGATTTGCTTACATCCTCCCAGCAGTGTGTGGAGTGCTCTGGTCCTGGGTGGCGCCTGAGAAGGAGTAGAGCAGGCCACACCTTGCCTCTCCTAGCTGTGCAAGGGAGCAGGAAGGATGGGTTAAAGGGAAGAAATAGACACTACTTACTATTTTATGATCCTCTGTATTGTGGGCATTTTCCAAACAGACTGTTTCGTGATGGTGTTGTTATAAATACAAAAATATTTGAAGGAAGAGGAGAAGGTGGAAGAAGAAGAGGAGAAATCCAGGGGTAAGCATGGTGGGCAAGGGGTGCACACACATGCAAGGGAAGAGTGGGTGTTTCCCAGGGTGTGAAACTCCTGGTCTGACTCAGGGGATGGTCCCTCATGTCACGCATCACAGATGGATGATACCAGTTCCCAGTGACAGTGTCCACAGAGGTGCAGTGAAGAAACATTCTGTAATCGGCATGTTACAGGCACTGCTGGTTTTCCCACTGTGTCTGGTGGCTTCACAGAGCTCTGGCTGGAGCTGGCCTCAGCTCCCTGGAAGAGGCGACATTTTAGCACAAGACTTATGAAAGTAGCTGAGCCATCTCTCATGAACTTGGCTGCCCTCCAGATATGACCTCCACTCTCCTTCCCTGATCAAGTGCCTGTGGAGCTCCACTGTGCCCCTGCTCTCTGCATCCTGGGTCAAGGTGTTCCCCATTCCACCAAGTGCTCCTACCATTATCATCTGCTGTCCTCACCAGAGCCCCAAAGAAATGAAGCTACCTGGTCTTGGACTTGAGCTTTTGATCAAGAGCTAAATGAGCCTCTTTGCTTCCTAAGCAGCCTGTCTCAAGTTCTCTGATACAGTAATTTTGAAACGGATTATTACAGCCAACAATCTGTTGAGAGTCCATACTACTCCTTGGCTCCAGAGTCAACAGAGAAGCCCTCTTCTCTTTCTCCAGCACTGCCCAGGCCTTGGTCTTGTCTTCTCTGGGAAGAGGAATTGACAAGACAAGCTTTTGGCCAACACAGTAACAGAAATCGTACCACCACTTGGATGTATTTTGCCTCCTAGTGATCAACTTGAGCATTATATTTGTGGCCAGAAGACCTGACTTCAAATCCTGGATTTTGCCAGTTTCAAGTTGTCATATATCCTCTTTTGCAAATAACAACTATAATAGCAACTAAATAGAGCAAACATGCTCTCCCTCACAAGGTGGTTGTAAGGATTCCATGTTTATAGGTGTCTTGTTTTGCTTGTGCAAATTGTGTGTATGTGTGCTTGTATGTGTGTGCAGTCACTATTGTGCTTGCCTTAAGCATGTTCTTCAAGCATTTGGAAGTTGCAGGACTACACAGGAAAAGGGCATTCTGGGTGAGTAAAATGTGTGATTCAGTCATAACAGAGACAGAATCTCAGCTCAATCAGAAAACCCACATGGCCATGAGCCCCTGCAAGCCAGGTCAGCATACTGATACTCGGCTTTGTGGTCTGATAAATCTATTCCACACAAAGGGAGATGTGTATGACTCTTTCAGATGTTTCCATTAGTTAATTTGGGGGCAACTCAAGTATTTCATCTGTGGTGCTCTCCTTCTTCCTAATGTGACACAACTAAACTTTGAGTCCCCATACCATTCAGGTCTCATTTCTCTGAAGGCTGTTCAAGTTTCTCTGGGAGCACCCAGATATGCATCAAATCAACCCACTACGCTAAGTTCAGGACACAACTCAGAAGTTTTGTCTCCTCCTACCTTCCACTTACTGTACTTCTCTTAATGGATCCCAAGTTTACCTCAGTTTGATGGGTCAGGAGATAACTCATATCCTGTTCCTTCAGAAAGATTCATAAAATTCAGATGACTACATCTTCTATAGCCCCAGTAAATCAAAATCTTTGGAGGTAGAGATATTTTTTAAACCTATCCCAGATGACACCAATGCATCCCAGCAAAAATTTTCTCAAGAATGAGGAAAGATCCAGGTATAGATTTTAGGAAAGACCCAGGCATCCTTTTTTGACTCTTTTTATCCTCACTAAAGTAATAAAAATCCTTCACTGGCAGGGACAGCACATGTAGGACATTCTGGCTGTCAGTGAGTGAAGATAATCTTAAGGGCCTCTAATTCCACTGGTTAACAATGCAGAAGTGTCCCAGGACTCCCTGTAGATAAAGCTCCGCCATTGCACTGAATGGAGCAGATGGTGGAGAGCTGAAAAAGCAAGTGTGGCCAGTGAACAATGACAGGGAACCCAGGGGCTGGTGAGATCACTACAGTGGGTGACCAACAGTGAGGCTGGGTGAGGAGGCAGAAAGGACAGAAAGGGACACAAGGACAAGGACAGACCACAGCAAAAGGTCAGAGGAAGACCATTCAGCAGCTGGGAGTGAGGCTGAGGGAAGAAAGGTGAGGGGTGAGGCGGGCAATGTCAGGGGTCATGTTTATGACAGTGAAGGGCGAGGAGGAGCCCTTGACCCTGCAGAGCAGGTGAGGGAAGCGGCCTCTTGCAGGAGAGCCAGGTGCCAGGGCCACCGATGGCATTGCTTCACAACAATGCTATTACAGTAGCACTATGGTTTGGGTGTAGTTTGAGTGTCCTCCAAGGCTCAGTGTATCAAAATTTAGTTTCCATTGAGAGGAATCAAGAGGATGGAAACTGAATTCCACTATAGTTTACATGCTGAGCCTTTGGGAGTTGATTAGGATTAGATAAATTCATTATTGTGTAGTCCCCACAATTGAATCCTGATAGTTTTATAAGAAAAGAGAGAGAAAACAGACAGACATATGGACATACGTGCACATTCTCTGCCCTTGCCATGTGATCCCCTGTGTTACCTCTGGGTTCTGCCAGCAAGAAGTTGCTGACACTCAACTTTGTACCTGTAGAACCATAAGTCAACCTAAGCCTCTTTTCTTTATGAAGTAGCCTGCCCCAGGCATTTTGTTATAGTATTGAAAAACAGACTAACATAAGTAGTAACGTGTATGAAACTAGACATTGAATAAAGAAATGAGTCCCTTTTCAAATTATTTTACCCCTAGCCAAAATTCAGTGCCCTCTCTGAAGCCACACACTGGCAATTTGGAGAGTCCTTCCAGACTTTCAGCTCTGCATTCTCCAATGTGTACATGTAATCCCATCTCTGTAAGAAAGACTATGTACACAATATCTATATCATATAGATATATGACCATGTTATGTTATATATAAATTAGCTCACCATTTCATGCTCAGCACTGGAGTTACCCCATGTTGTAAGAATGGCAACTGAACTTGACTTGTCACTGATCACTTGTTTTTGTTTTTGTTTTTGTATAATATTTATTTATACATTAATTGGTACATTTTAGGTATACAATACATTTACATTTATCATTGGGTGTTTGTACCTGAACATGATGTATCTTAGTTCTTATTTTTTT